AGATTTTAATGGATTCTATACAGAGTATAATCTAATGAGCTATATTTTTCTTTAGAAGAGTCACCGAAAAAAAAAGAAAAAAAAAGAAGCAAATCTTTTCGTTAATTTGAAAACAATTGATTGTTGAATGTTGCTAGCATCTCCTGTTATTCATGAAGTGTATTTTTGTAAAGGTCATTCGTTTCAATCATGTTTATAATGACCATAGAAGTTCGTTCATATTTGTATCGAACATACATTCCGACGATCGATGACTCTTAAAAGAATGACAGGTGAGCAATGCGAACGTCCTAAAAAAATAAAAATAAAAAAATACTAAGACAAGAAAAAAAGAAAGAAAACGATACATCGTAGAAAAAGTATCTCGAGTTAAGGATGAAAGAACAAGCGAAAAATGCTACAAAATAACCTTGCAAAACAGTCTTATTTTGTGCTAAGTAGCTACTATGCATTTTCCTAACTTTTTCATTTAAAATTTATATAAAAAAAGAAAAATAATTTAAAGATTTAGATTTACTTTGCATTATCAAGTTTACCGAGTGACTTTAAGTTTGAAATTAAGTTAAAAACTCGTTTTAGACTTTAATTCTTTGATCAAAATTGCAAACATGATAAAAACAAAAAAGAAAAGAAGGAAAAATTGGATAGTTTACAAACAAGTTGGTAAACTTATTTTTATATAAAATATATTCTTTAAAAGTTTTATTTAAGATTTTGATTAAAATATATAATTTTTAAAGATATTTTAAAAAATGATTTTAATAATCAAATTTACAGAAATTCGTTTGATAATTGAAATTCCTAAGTGGATATTTAAGAAAATGTTACAGGATTTTAAAAATATTATATTTAACTTTTTTTCTTTCATTCACTAATTCGAAAATTTTAAAATCATTCCTACACACTGTCTTCAATCAATAATAATAACAATTTTCCTACTCTTTGTGGGTTTTTTTAATATAATTTCTTTTTAAATATCCAACTCGATAAAGCAAATTATTCATTTAAATTAGTAAACTTTTTCTCTTAAAAAAAATATATGATATATAATCAAATTTAGAATCTATTCAGTAATTTTTAAAACAGTTTTGTTTGTAACAAAATGACATAAATGACAAAATTTTCAAAGAGGAATTTGGTAATGAAAAATGCAGCTAGAATTGCAAATGATACAAACAAAAGATTTAATGTATCAGAGAATAGGAGAGTGTTCTCGATATAAAAAAAACAAGAAAAAAAAACATTGTTAGAGAAATAAATTGCAACAACTGCGAACAGAAAATAGAATTTTGAACAGCCAACGGGCAAAAGACGGAGTTAGTGAAAAATGATAGAAAATTAAATTATTCACGACCGCATTTCAGTTTTGCCTTAAAATCTAACCAGCAAGTGCGAACATCCGAATTGCATATTTAAATTGATTCGGTATACAAATTGGTTTCGGGATTTTTTACATTGGAAAATATATATATGTATGTATGTATAGATATATTCGTAAGTTATATATTCTCGAGTTTCGATTGAATGACAATCTGACAATTGAATTTTAACAAGTTTACTTCATATAGTAAACTTAATCAAAAGCAAAAATATGTACTTAAGAAACATGAGAAAGAAACTTGTATAAGAGAATAATGTAAAGAATGTAGTATCCGGCTCAGTTTGCTAGGAAACCGTATTAAGATACAATGGCCACATATCGAACGTGAATCGCCGAATAAATGGTTTGTATTCGCAATATAAACGAGTCCTGAAATACCACATTGTTCCCAGGAGATAGTCTAAGTAAAGATTGGATATTATACAGGCCAACAATGGCGTTGTTTACCCAAAATTGTTTCTGTTAAAACTACCGCAAAGTTTAGAAAATGGAATAACTACTAGATAATTTTTTTATTATTTATTTTTCAAACTTTTCAAAATACAAATCCAATGCAGATTTTCTTCAGAAGGCACTCGTTTAATTTTACTATTTGTTTGAGATCTGCAGACAATTTTTATAAATATATATATATATATATTTTTTTTTTTTATTTTATGATTAATAAAATAAATCGAAAGACAAAACAGATTTTTCTATTATTTTTTTATTGTTTTGCCCACAAGAAAACATTCTATTCCGATACGAGTCTCTTTATCAGTAATCGAATGTTTCTAGTTTATCAGACGTATTACTGTCAAAGTATCGTCTAAAATTTTATTTTGACTGATTTTCTGATATGTAAGCACTATAACATAACATAACATAACCGAGAGTTAAATGTAATTCTTGTGTTTTCGTTTTAAGACACATAAATGTTATCTAAACTATAAAAATAGAAACAACTTCTATTCCAATTTTATATAGATTTAACATAGGCTACATAGATTTATATATATATCAATTATTATAAGAGAATTACTCATGCATAATTGGTAACATAATAAAGATTCCCTTAATACATTTCTAAATATATTTAGAAAATTAATTCAATTTAAAATTATTAATTTATTAATTCTAAACATTTAATAAGATTAGATACGCTTTAAATAAAATTTTAATATTGTTGTAATTTAAATAATATTAATTTTGTTCATTTTATTCTCTTCGGAATTTTAATATTTGTCAATATTCTAAAAACAAATTATAAAAATGGATTTTTAGATGTGGGTATTTTATTAAAATAGACAAAGAATGTTTCGTTTCAGGTCAGTGCAGATACATAGTAATCATCAGTAATGGAGAACAAGTACTACTTCACAGTTGGTCGGATATTGTATCGTTCTGCATCGAAGAACACATACACACTTGCACATGCACATGCACACTCACCACCATTTCAAATAAGGCTTCTTTAGGGAAAATAGAGAGTGCTACTTAAGTAGAATATCTTGTAGCTGTCCCGTTTTTATTACATTCAATCTTCTTTCTCTTCTCTCTCTCTCTCTTTCTCTCTTTCAGTCCCTTTTTTCAGTTTTATACTGTTAACTTTTCGCTTGAATTTTATAAAAACAATTTATCTACTTATGCATAAAATTTAAATATAATCATTGATAGCTTCGATAATTACTTTGCCTAAATGGCAATAAAAATTTATATATTTTTTTCTCCCCTCTCCTAGTTAACTTAGGATAAGCTGGATGGAGGAGGATAAGCTGCAAAGTGATTTCGCATCCGATCTTCTTCGTTTGCTGCAGCTTAGTGACATTTCGGGATGATAAATGCTAATGTAGGTTGTGTAAAAACACCCGATAGGGAATTAACCTTAAGTTGGGATTAAGTATTCAAAAAACGGCTATGGCAATTTGCAGACTGCTACTTCTTAAACAAAAGAACTCTTAGAGAAGGCCAGACAGGTGACCTATTAAAACAAAAGCTCATTCTGTTGCCACAAATACGATCCCTTTAAATAACCCTCTTCAGTAATGGAATTCTTTTGTATATCATCTATTCAAGAATCCTCATCTTTTAGACTATTCCTTTCAAATCTAGTGACGTTAGCAACCTCTATTTATCACTAGCCGATCCAAAGTTAAAGTAGTTTTGTTGCTGTAAGAAGCAGTCAATGTCCACAATAGAAAACCTTTTGGCACCGTGACAAATGGAAATGTTTTCTGTGCATGAAACTTAATAAAAATCTCTGACGTCATCACATTGCTTTAGTTCACTCGGGGCTCGTTAATCTAAGATGTGGGATATTAATTTTAAAAGCTCAACATTATTTGGGAATAAGCAATATTGAAGTGACCCTTGGGTATTTTAGAATTACTACAGTTCTACTGGATTAATGCAAATATGTTAATATCTAACTAAACTCACTAAATATTACGCAGAGAAAATAATATTTGAAATTGTAATCTATTAAAAGATTATCAAAAATTATACAAATTTCATTTTATGGCGTTTTGATTAGTAATAAAATTTTAATATTTTAAAGCGCATAAATTCTATCAATAAGCCGATGGAATTATTCGTTAAACATGGAAAAATATTGAAGATTTAACGTTTTATATTAAAATATATTTTAAAAATTGATTTCTCTAATTATTCTTTATTATTATTTCTTAAAACATGAAGAACTTGAACTGAATTAAACAATCAGTAGGCGTGAAATAGAATATTCTCATCTCCCTTTTATTAATTAGAAAAAAATCAATTTTCGATCGAAATATTTAAATTAAAAAACGAAAAGGAATAGACTATCTTTAATTAAAATTTTAAAAACGAAAATAAAAATTAAATATAATCCGTTCATTACAATTTCTCTGATTAAAATTACTACAAAAATTGACATTTTTCTGCTTTTAATTTAGTTAAATATGAATAAAAAAATAAAATAAAAAATATATATTTTTTAAGACCATATTAATCTCTAATTATTTTTTAAAAAACGGCCAGCAAAAAATTATAAAATATTAATGAAATTACAACTTTCTAATTTTAATTAGAAAAATTAATTTAATTTAATTATTTTTAAAACCAGCTTTTTAATATGGCGTATTTTCTTACATGTGTATATAAAATATATTTAAGCTTATATAATTTAATTTCTTTTTTGAAAAGATAAAATTATTTAAATTTAAAAAAAGAAGAAGAAGATAAAAGATCAGCATCTCGACAAATCTTTCCACTTAAAATCTAGCATAATATCATACTAATCTGTTGCGTGTTTTTTTTATAATAGCTTAAACAAATTTAATCGTTTTGGATTCAAGTAGACCGTTTTAAGGATTACAGATTGAACAACATTGTAAATTACGTGCTATTAGATGGCATAGGTCGAATCTGACTAGACCAACGTCTGTTTACTAGAGATAAGTATACTTTAGCCTAGTTAGGGTAATCGAACGATCCTGTAGAGTACTCTCAGCTCCGCATCCTCTCCGGTAACATATCTAAAACGTGCAGGCATCAGGTCTATAACCTATACAACCTTGATAATGCGATATTCAAGGTCGTGCTTATGTCTAATCCGCGAAGGAGGAAAAAAATGCAAATAGAAAAAAATAGCAAAATTTACCTTTAAAAATTAGTTTTTATTCCTAGCAATTCTTTCGAAACCCGTTGCTATGGCAACCACGGGAGTGATGCCAGTTGTCATGACGACCGGTGGAAATATTATATGTTACTGTATATTGTGTATCTAAGTTGAGAAATTGAATTCCCAAGACATAGAACAGTTCATGTGTGTTGAATTTTAACAAAGGAAAATATTAGAGTTTGCCAGCCTCAAATTTTAACTTATTTTTATTTTTAATATATTGTTTCGTATTTATAAATTAAGAAAAAATTGATCGATGCAATCAAGTGCTTTAATTTGGTTGTTGTATGAATAATAATCAATCAAAATGCATATTTATGAATAGACCCCTTAAAAAGTATTTAGGGTGATCAATAATGGTGTTTTAATTTGGTGACATAAGTTTAGAATGACCAATAGAAGTAAACGAAACAAAAAAGTTAATGTAAACCGATCTGGTGATGTCATGTGTTAATAAAAAAAGAAAAATTATAAAATTTAAAAGAACCAATAAGATTACTTAATTTTTTAATGAAAACAAATCAATCACTCCGTTTATAGTTTCATCATTTAATTAACCAATCATTTGAATATAAAGTTTTAAAAAATTTATTCAGACCAATTACAACATTTACCCGCTCTACGTTTTTTTAAAAACATATCGAAAGCCAGCCAATCAAGTTTAGTAAGTTGAACGTTATTAACCAATAGAACTGCAACGGTTTTTTTAACGTGTTTAAACAAGCTTTTAAACGATCCAATCAATAGTATCGTCTTGTTTTGTCGTTTCCTGGAAAAAGTAGCCGTGACCAATCGGAAAACTTCACTTTTAACAGAACTGTCTACTTCTTTTATCTTATTAAAGAAGTACAATAAGATTAGGTAAGAAGGACTTTCTGACAGTCCTACCTGGTCACCAATCACATTAGGCTTTTTCTACCTGTCGTCCGCATTACCTGGCTTACAGGTCGCTCTAGCTTCGGTCACGTTAATTTTGTTAGTTGGTCGACTTGTCAGCACACCGCCTTCTTCAAGAAAATTCGATTTTGTTTGCCTTAACGTCAGCGCCCTCTGCCGACACAATTAACTGTCACGTGATGGAGGAAGAGAGAAGATTTTTTTTGCCATTTCTTCAAGTTCTTCCACACAAAAAAAAAGAGGAGGGAAAAAACCTTTCTCGAAATAAACTTTTTTCTCCGATAGAAACAGACAACTGAAGTTTTTCTTTTCTAAAATTTAACAATTTTATAGAATTACTTTCAGATTTGTCTTCAATCCTTAAATGTGAAGAAAACATGCTGCAGTTTTTATATACTGTTTTTATAACTAGATCTCTTAAATATGTATTAAAAAGAATTTGAGAAATGTATTTAAAAAAATTATATTTTTATTCGTAATTAACAGATTTTCACTTATATATAAGTTGTGGGAGCTAATTACAAAAATCATTTGGCAAACGTATCTAAACTATAGTTTAATGCATATTTAATATAATTTAAATATCATTATCATGTATACAATTAAAAATTTAAAACTTTAAATTATAATTATTAATCATTTTTATTTCTAAATGCAGAGAAGTAGTACGTAAGTACAGTACATCATTTAAATTACAAAATATTTCTATACTAATTAATGAAATCAATTACTTATTAAAAAGATAATTTTATATAATTAACTCAAATGAATATTTTCAAAGCATTTAAATAAAATTATATACTAAATTATTTATTTTATTGATATTTTATAAACATTTATTTTTAATAAAAAGGAGTGAATACTTTTTTATAGTTTCACGTATAAAGTTAATCAAAACTCATAAATAAGAAATTGTAAACAGAAATCTGGAGGAATTACATGCAATATTTTAATAATTAAACAGTGAAACGTGACTATCAGATACGCAATTTAAGTAAATTAAGTTTTAATTTCTCTCATATATATTACGAGCAATAAAAATGTATTTATTTGATCTAAGACGAGAGTTAAAGGTTATGTATGATGGCGAATTACACTGGTAACTTGCAACGTTATTAACATAATTATACAAATGTAAAAATTCTTACCTTTAATAATATGAAGTTCACTATTTTCAGAATTATTTCTTAATAGGATTTTTGCATAAGAAAACTTTTCCTTTTTTTTATCTTCATGACTTGTTGACTGGAGTGAAAATTTAATTTTTTTTCTTTAATTTAAAAATTTTTGGTTTCGTTTTGTTTATAATAAAAAACCCACTATCCTACGGTTAAAAATCTTACATGAATTATTAAATATAATTTATTTGTTTGTTTCTGCATTCATCAAGATAATGCTTTTTTAGGGTGATCAATAATGGTGTTTTAATTTGGTGACATAAGTTTAGAATGACCAATAGAAGTGAACGAAACAAAAAAGTTAATGTAAACCGATCTGGTGATGTCATGTGTTAATAAAAAAAGAAAAATTATAAAATTTAAAAGAACCAATAAGATTACTTAATTTTTTAATGAAAACAAATCAATCACTCCGTTTATAGTTTCATCATTTAATTAACCAATCATTTGAATATAAAGTTTTAAAAAATTTATTCAGACCAATTACAACATTTACCCGCTCTACGTTTTTTTAAAAACATATCGAAAGCCAGCCAATCAAGTTTAGTAAGTTGAACGTTATTAACCAATAGAACTGCAACGGTTTTTTTAACGTGTTTAAACAAGCTTTTAAACGATCCAATCAATAGTATCGTCTTGTTTTGTCGTTTCCTGGAAAAAGTAGCCGTGACCAATCGGAAAACTTCACTTTTAACAGAACTGTCTACTTCTTTTATCTTATTAAAGAAGTACAATAAGATTAGGTAAGAAGGACTTTCTGACAGTCCTACCTGGTCACCAATCACATTAGGCTTTTTCTACCTGTCGTCCGCATTACCTGGCTTACAGGTCGCTCTAGCTTCGGTCACGTTAATTTTGTTAGTTGGTCGACTTGTCAGCACACCGCCTTCTTCAAGAAAATTCGATTTTGTTTGCCTTAACGTCAGCGCCCTCTGCCGACACAATTAACTGTCACGTGATGGAGGAAGAGAGAAGATTTTTTTTGCCATTTCTTCAAGTTCTTCCACACAAAAAAAAAGAGGAGGGAAAAAACCTTTCTCGAAATAAACTTTTTTCTCCGATAGAAACAGACAACTGAAGTTTTTCTTTTCTAAAATTTAACAATTTTATAGAATTACTTTCAGATTTGTCTTCAATCCTTAAATGTGAAGAAAACATGCTGCAGTTTTTATATACTGTTTTTATAACTAGATCTCTTAAATATGTATTAAAAAGAATTTGAGAAATGTATTTAAAAAAATTATATTTTTATTCGTAATTAACAGATTTTCACTTATATATAAGTTGTGGGAGCTAATTACAAAAATCATTTGGCAAACGTATCTAAACTATAGTTTAATGCATATTTAATATAATTTAAATATCATTATCATGTATACAATTAAAAATTTAAAACTTTAAATTATAATTATTAATCATTTTTATTTCTAAATGCAGAGAAGTAGTACGTAAGTACAGTACATCATTTAAATTACAAAATATTTCTATACTAATTAATGAAATCAATTACTTATTAAAAAGATAATTTTATATAATTAACTCAAATGAATATTTTCAAAGCATTTAAATAAAATTATATACTAAATTATTTATTTTATTGATATTTTATAAACATTTATTTTTAATAAAAAGGAGTGAATACTTTTTTATAGTTTCACGTATAAAGTTAATCAAAACTCATAAATAAGAAATTGTAAACAGAAATCTGGAGGAATTACATGCAATATTTTAATAATTAAACAGTGAAACGTGACTATCAGATACGCAATTTAAGTAAATTAAGTTTTAATTTCTCTCATATATATTACGAGCAATAAAAATGTATTTATTTGATCTAAGACGAGAGTTAAAGGTTATGTATGATGGCGAATTACACTGGTAACTTGCAACGTTATTAACATAATTATACAAATGTAAAAATTCTTACCTTTAATAATATGAAGTTCACTATTTTCAGAATTATTTCTTAATAGGATTTTTGCATAAGAAAACTTTTCCTTTTTTTTATCTTCATGACTTGTTGACTGCAGTGAAAATTTAATTTTTTTTTCTTTAATTTAAAAATTTTTGGTTTCGTTTTGTTTATAATAAAAAACCCACTATCCTACGGTTAAAAATCTTACATGAATTATTAAATATAATTTATTTGTTTGTTTCTGCATTCATCAAGATAATGCTCTTCGATAAGTATACAAGAATATTTTATTATTATTGACATATAGTAAACGTAAAATTTAGTTTAAAAAAATTAATTATTTAAATTATTATTATTTTAAATTTCCATAAAATAATATGGAAAGCGAATTGTAACATTTTTTTATAAAATAAAAATAAATTGTTATTTTAAAAAGTAATCTGATGTTATTAGATAAGAATTTTATTTTAAATAAGTTTATAAAGCGTATATAGAAAGGATTACAAAATAAAAAAATATATATATTTTTGTTGAAAGATTATTTTTTTATTATTTAAATTATTTATTTGTCACTATTTTGATATTTAAATTAAGATTAATAATTTATTGAATATTCTAGTTAATTTAGTGTTTTCTTAATACTCACATACAAAAAATATTTCCATTTATTTTACTTTATTCAATGTATTAAAAATTTATATATTAAAATTTTTTAATATATAAAAAAACTATAAAGTGTAATAAAATATTTTCATCTTTTATAATTTCAATTGGTTAGTTATAAAAGTATTATGATTTCTTTTTAAAAAATTTTATTTGATATTTAAATTGAAATTGTTAAATTTAAATTTATTGCATTTTCATTTAGTTACTAAAATTTAATTTAAAATTTACATGCATTATTATTTACGAAAGATTTTGAATATTTGGAAGTAAGTGAGTCTTAATTTTTATTATTTTTGTTTAATCGTAATAAAAATCATTTATTTATTTTTCTTTCTTTCTTGCTTTTCATTAATTATATCGTTAAAAGTGAAACTTGTCTCT